ATATATTTGTATATTCTGGCAATAGAGATTGAGAGAGGAAGGAGAGAGACGAGCAAAGAGGAAAATAATTTGTATAATTCGCATCTCGTTTATATAATTCGCAGGTACGTTTGTATAATTCACACTTTTTTTTTATAATTGAGTAATACATATGAAGTTTGAAATTATAGAAATATAATAAAACTCGAAATAACGAATAGATACAAACATAAACATACGACTTTAAACAATTGTACAAAATATATTATATAAATCATATTATACAAAATTCAAAACTATACGTTTATACAAACTTTAAAAAGTTATATAAAAAAGATTGAATGTATATGATGACAAAACTAAAAACCCAAAGGAAATCATCATCATATACAAATATAAACAATCGTTTACAAATATAAATTAAATAAAAAATTGTTAGCTACAAATTATACAAATATGACGAATTATACGTATACAAACATGACTAGTATAGAAACACAAAGTCAGCTCACGTAATTAATATAAAATATTAGTCATAAGAGGTTAGAAAATTACAACTATGATAAATAATTTAATAATATAAAGTTATCTAACTGCGTAATTTTTTAAATTTATAATACGGAGGCCTATTACTGCTTCACATCTATATATAAATATAAATGAGGATCATAGAGGAGGTGATGTGGCACCTCTCTATGACCTCCATTCATTTTTTCTTATTTTTCTTCTTTTACTTGATATTTTTTCTTTATTTTTTTAATTATTTTTTTAATAAATTTATACCTCTTTAATTATATAAATTCTATTCTTAAATTAGTATTAATAATATTCATAACCCTCAAACCTTTCATATTCATAACCTCTTAAACCTTTCATATTCATAGCTTCTAATTATTTAATGTGAAAGGTTACATCAACACTATAAAATTACACTAAAATTGTGTGTTATTTGTAGTCATCTTTGGGTAGAGAATTAGTGGAAGGAATGTTACAATATTTGTAAGCTTTGAGGTGCATTGTTTTTTTTAAATATTATTTCATATATTACTTTTAATTAGCAAGTAAGGCTAATATGTCATCATATTTTTATTTCTTCTAGATAAATTATTTTGTTTTGTTATCTTTGAGATTTATTTTATGACTAATAATGTATTTGTTATTATTTTTCTTGACTCTTGTATATAGGATGAAATGATAACATCAAGCAATGAAGATTAATGGATTTTGAGTTATATATATTGATTATTTGTCCAAAATGATTATGTAGCAGAATTTATGATTAAATGTAATTTTTTCTTATCCTTTATGAGATGTAATATTTTAATTTGTTAACTTTGAGATTCATTTTAGGACTAATAATTTATTTGTTATTATTTTTTTTGACTCTTATATATAGGATGAAATGAAAACATTAAGAGATGGAGATTAATGGATTTTGAGCTATATAGTGATTATTCTTTATTTTTTAGGTCCTTAAGAAGTAATGTATCTATTATATTATTTCTTTTTGAATTATTTATGTTTTGTTAAAAATGATTATATGTGTTTAAATGTAATTTTCTCCTTATTCTTTATCTTTTTTTTTATTTTGGTAGATAATTTTTTAACTTATTTAATCAGATTTGCCGATTATAGAAGATATATCTATAATGAAAATGGTTAGACATTCTTGCATAATTTGAGTTTACAAGGAAAAATAATTTGATATGTCTAATATAATTACAACTCTTTCTTTGTTGAATCATATATTAATATTATTTGTTTGTGTTCATGAAGATAGAAATCTGAGTTTTTTTTAAAAAAACATCTAATTTATTCTCCTTAGACCTCTATATGATTTATAGATAATTTAACTATATATAATGATAACACTCTTCAAAATAATTATTTGTTTAGGTAAATTCATCTCTCACTTTTTTTATTGATGATATTAGTTTATTGTGTTTGTGACTTATAATATTTTAAAACATAGAAGTAGAAATCGATATGCTACTTAAAAAAATATGTGAACATATACTTTCATATTCCGGTGAAACAATTTTTATTAACAAAAATGACAAATCATAAAAATGTAAAGTTAATTTATTATTTTAAAATACACATGGTTTTATCAAAAATAAATTATTTATTAATATGTAAAATTACAATTCTTAAATTTTTCATTTTTGTTGTTTTTCTTAGAATATTTCAAGTTGTTTATTAATAAGTCTTTATATTTTCATGTTTGTTATTTTTCCGGAGTTCTACAGTTATTTCAAAATTATGATTAATTTATAATTTTAAAAAAATTTAGTTGCTTTCCTACCTATCCATTTACTTATAATAAAATATTTGTCTCAATAACTCTAATTTGTTTGTTTTTCATTTTCTATAATTAATGTACTTTATTAGTGTAATAATGTACAAATATTACTCTTATTATGTTACAAAAGTTCAAAGTCATATTACCTCTTAATTAATGTGACTTTTTATTTTTAGAAATTTATTATGTTAAATGTAATATTTATTTAAAATGTGAAAAATATTTTTTAATATTTTGTGTTTAGGCCAAATAAAATTAAAAGAAATAGGAATTGTGTATGTGTCATTTTTTTGAATCTTTTTTCGTTGTTAATTCTCTCTTTTGTTCTCTTTTATGTTATTTTTAAATTTTATATTTTTTTTCAATATAAGTTGTCCCAAAAATAATTGGATATCTAAACCTAAGCATAATGATGATAATAATAATAATAATAATAATAATAAGTATGAAATTTAACTAATTAAGATTTTTAAACTTTTCTTTATTTAAAATTTAATTATTAAAAAGTCATTAATACAAATATTAAAATAATCTAATATTGTACAATAAAAATAATTAAAACATGTGATGATTGGGTCATGAGGAAGACAAGTGATAATAATTGTGGATAATGATTTATAATAGTGTTGGCTAACTATATAGTCACGAATACTAACTATTAATAGTAATCCAAGTTATACATTGCCGAAAAATTATACTAAGAATATAATTTATAAAATTACAAATAAGCATAAAAGAACGATTAGATGTAAAGTTTTCCTCTATAGCTACTTGAGAAAGAAACTGAGTATGTTTATAATATGTAGTTAGTCAAGGACCTTAGAGGAAAATATACTATTAAGAGTGTGAATATTAGATTCTAATTTGAAATTTTCAAAGGCCAGTTAGACAATTAAAAATCACTTCACTTGATTAATGATGTTTTATTCTGAAGCTTTTAGCAGACAAAAAAAAAAGATACAAATCACTACTCAACACGCATACAGAAAGTGCTATTTTTTGAGGTTTTCAAGACATTTCAAGACTTTTTTCATACTGAATTAAGAGTGATTGCTGCCCTATGATTGTCTTTTGAGCTTTTAGGAGAAAATGAATACAGGTTCTAGAGAAAGCTGTAAGATGATCTTTTTCAAGGTTATAACAATATGAAAAGAGTGTAGACATAACAAACATTAACAGAAATATAAGCACAGAGTTAACACATATTACAGTTTTAGTATTTACTATTACTGTATCCTGGCACACAATGTCTCAACTGTTGTAGCACATTGGATATACACAACGATTTTACTTTTAGTAGCATATCATAACACCTACAATTCAAGAATGAAGGATTACAACAATAACGTTCACTAAGACATTAATGCAAATAGTCTATCAATAATGGATAATTGAACTTCCACATCTGGAGATAGTTCACAAACCAAAGAGTAAAAGCAAAATGTGTCATAGGCTTCTCAACACACTTTTATGTAAGTACTTCGACAATATCCTTTCTATATCATTTTAAAAGAGAAGAAACAAAATCATCTTTTTTTGCTCTGATGTCTCATTCATTAAATTTGGAGAAGAGCTGCAATGAGTTAAACTCATTACGCCAATTTATCATATCACCTCAGCACTTTCATATCCAGATTTATATATATATATAGAGATTCCTTTAATCATTTGAATTTATATCGTCTCACATCTTCATATTTTTCTATACTCTATTTGAACTTTCTCTTGAACAGGGAAAGAACATCATAACAATAGCTTCAATTAAACAAGCTTATCAAGACTACCTTTCAATTTAATACAATCGTGTTTAAATTAAATAGTGTATTAGTTTATTATAACAAGTTAAAAACTACATTAATCATTACTTATAATACAAATACTATATAAGACCTATTTGTTTGTACTTAATAAAGGCATGAATATTAATAATTCAGATTCAACACATTAAGTATGTTTGGTTTTTAGGTCTGAATCCGAACAATTCAGATTCAGTCCATTTATTTTATTTTTTAAAAAATCTCTTAATGAGTCTGGAGTGGTCTGAAAAAGTTAAATTTGTTGGTAGCTCTTGACAACATTCAGACTTATTTAATAAGTTATCAAATAATAAATTGATCGTTTATCTACTCATAACTAAAAACTTTATCTCTCTCCCTTTCCAATCAAACACCATTTTTTCTCTCGTGAACTTGTAAGTTTTCATTAATCCTTTTAAGTATTTTTTTTATTAATAATTTTCTTGTATTGACATGTGTCAAAAACACTAATTGCAATAATACTTTTGGTGTATTGTTGTTCATCAAAGTGTTTCAATGAGAAAATAGTACTCAAGTCATGATTATTAAAACTTTTAAAACTTTTTTTTTATCAAAGTGATATATTTTGTTGAAATAAAATTTTTTATAATATTTTTATTAATATAATATTCAATTTAACATGCACATTAAGATATTAAAAACAAACATCATTAATTATTTAATGTTCAGTTTTAGAAATCACGTCTTGATATTCAAATTAAAATACATAGATCATAATATAAATTTTTAAATTTGTATTGAGATTCAAACATCTAATCTTAATAGAAAGGAAGGAAACAAATGAAACCTAAATGTATTGCAAGTTTGCAACATGGGTTGAAGCACCCTCTTGGGCCTTGATCACATCTTTTTATGGGCCGGTTGTCAATTTAAGCCCACCGACCTATAAACCCATACCCCACTTTGTGTTCGTCATTCTCGTAGCTCCAAACTCTTCGAATTTTGTGGCGCAGATTCAGAAATCACAGTGAATATACAGATAGTGAAAAGTTGCTCTGCTCTGCTCGGTAATGATGCTTACGGGAGACATACCACCGAATCAAACTATTTACATTAAGAACTTAAACGAGAAGGTCAAGAAAGAAGGTAACTTTTTTTTTTTTTGAAGATTTAAGCTAGGGTTTTAGCATAAATTCGAATCAGGAATTGTTAAGGCTGCGGAATTTCAGCTGTTTATGATCTTTTTATACATTTACGTGTTGTTGAATAGCTGTAAATGGAAGGAAAATACCATATAAAGCCGTGGTGTATGAGCACTATATGGGGTTGTAAGTTGGCGAGGAGGAATTAGAGAAGTCATAATAGAAGGGTATCTAGAATATGTATGTTTACACGGGGTAAAGTAAAGGATAGAGTTTCAAGTGACTTGTAAGCGCAGATTGTTTTCCATGAATGTTGATGTTGGGTCAAATTCTGTAAGCCATGTACCTGAGAGGAGCTTAGTAAAATAGAAGGGGTTTCTGTTGTTGGCGCCCTATTTTAGTTTAGTGAGCTCTTGTCTCTGTCTAAAGAATACAAGCCCTTTTGGGTGAATTGAATTCTGCAAAGTTAGGGGGTGTGGTAAGTGTGAGGTTTTTAGAACCCCTATTCTCTATAAGAGATAAACTTTATGCAGTATAGGAATAGAATGTTCCCGAATGGTGTTGGACTTCATTAGCGGACACCAACTAATTGGGGATTGAACAGGGAAAATACCCTTCGATTTGATCAAGTTTTCTGGTGATCATTTCCTTCTTCTTTTTGTGGATTGTTGCCTCAATATCTATATTATTATCTTTGCGTTGAGTGTTTAACTTGGCATGAAAAGAAATGTACTTATCAAGGAGAAATCTTCAAGATTTGCTTTGTTATTGTTCTATCAAGTACCAAAACTTATGACTCTTTTGCAACACTGACTTAATATGTGTATATAGTAAATACTAAAACTGTAATATGTGTTAACTCTGTGCTTATATTTCTGTTAATGTTTGATATGTCTACACTCTTTTCATATTGTTATGACCTTGAAAAAGATCATCTTACAGCTTTCTCTAGAACCTGTATTCATTTTCTCCTAAAAGCTCAAAAGACAATCATAGGGCAGCAATCACTCTTAATTCAGTATGAAAAAAGTCTTGAAAACCTCAAAAAGTAGCACTTTCTGTATGCGTGTTGAGTAGTGATTTGTATCTTTTTTTTTGTCTGCTAAAAGCTTCAGAATAAAACGTCATTAATCAAGTGAAGTGATTTTTAATTGTCTAACTGGCCTTTGGAAATTTCAAATTAGAATCTAATATTCACACTCTTAATAGTATATTTTCCTCTAAGCTTCCTTGACTAACTACATATTATAAACATACTCAGTGTCTTTCTCAAGTAGCTATAGAGGAATGGCTTCATCGGCAAAGACACCAGGTCTTGACAAGCCTAACCCAGCTGAAGATTGGACTGTTGTATTGCCTCGTCGTGGAAAACAGAAAAGAATTTTTCATAAAGTTATCATTCACGAACGGCAAAAACAAGAACAAGTGTGGACTCCAGCAGATATTGAGACCAATCCTGAGAGAGAATCTAAATTGATGCAAAAAATACAAACCTGCATGAGGAAACTCGAGAGCTCTTCCTTCTGGTTGACATTTTTGGATCAGTTAGAAACCCCTGAAATATTTGATAGGTTTCTAAAAGCTGTGGGATCAGAAGGAAAGATGCAGATGGTAATATATGGAATTGGTAGCATAGAATCATATGAGCCTCCTAGATTACAGCTTAGTCTTGCAATCTTAATGAAAAGAATGTTTAGTTGGATTGGGGAGGTAGAGGTATTTGATCCAGTGATCTCTCTGGCAGAATCTAGGGTGCTGACAGCTCTCGGTTGTTCTGTCCTAACAGTCAATGAACAGGGTAGACGGCAAGCTTTAAGACCTACGATGTTCTTCATGCCACATTGTGATGCTGAACTATATGAGAATCTTCTAGAGGCAAATTGGAGGCATGATCTATTGGGTAATATGATACTGTTTGGAAATAGTTTTGAGGCGTATGAGCAACACGTGTCAGAGTGCAAAAACCTTAGACTTGCTGATTCTAGGAAGCATATCATAGCAATCAGGCAGTTTGTAAATGAGCTTCCCATTGATTCTAGGAAGCAGATTGTAGCATTCAGGCAGTTTGTAAAAGAGCGTTCCATTGATCCCTTTTCAGACGATCAATTTCGTGCCTTCCATGGTTCAAGTTGGCATTTTTTCGACATTGATCCTCATTCAGATTTATGTGATGCTAAACCATGAACACTTTTTTTTCTGGATTGTACCTCTTCATTGGAACTGAATATCAAAATTTTATTATGATTTAGGAAAATGTTCTTTCTTTACCTTTTGTTTCCTCGGAAAATGTACTGAAGTACAAACAGTACATGACTCCAAGTAGTACCATACAACAACTTGCAATTGCAGCTCAGAAGGAAGAGATGCTAATAGTTAAACTTATTAACTTGCAGCATGAAACAAGTCACACCATCTGGGAAACTTAGATGAAGAAATGATTGAAGAACGCGTAAAAAATAAAATTCATCAAAAACACATCTTTAGGAGATCTTAACATCTAACTTATAAAACCGTTGAGGTGTCTTGCAAGTTGTCCCAGAAGCCATCCAACACACAAATTAAATAACCAGATACTACATGCTTGTTTCACAAATTAAATAGACCTACGTGACATAATGGATGTAGACCGCAATTTGTCATATAGGATACCATGAAGGAAATGTGTATCTACTCATTCAATTATATACAAGTTCAACAACCTACTCAAAAGATTAATGTGAAGTTGGCATTAGTTGGATTGTGTATCTACTCAAACACACCTAAGCTTAATGTGAAGTTGACACTAGTTGGGTTGTGTATCACAAATGGACTAAAAGTCAGATATTAATTTTCTTTATATTGTTAATGGCCAAGTTAATTCAAGCTTATAATGCTATGTTGCACACACCAAGATGTTCAGCCTTGGGTGTGAGATGGAATCCCCGCAACATACCAGACGTTCAGTCCTGGGCGTGAGATGGAATTCCCGAGGTGAGGTAGGCTATTGAAGAATGAATAAAGGTTCATATTGATGATTACTGAGACAAATGGTTTCTTTATAAGAAATGAATGAATAGTTTCCTTTATGAGCCAACTTTATAGCATAAATTAGATTAAAGACCAAATATCACTCAAACAGAATTATTACGTGGAGATTACAAACTAAAAGATAAACTAAAATGAGTATCATTTTTATCGGATGTCCTATAAAACGGATTAAGAAAATCATAATCCATAAATTAAAGGAGAGAAGCTTCTAGAGAGATAAAAGTGTGACACAAATTAAATCTTATTTCTTTTCCATCCTATACAACTCAAGGTACAAAAACATAATTTTTGTGCCATTGACTCATAAACGAAAATTCTTTTCCCATTACCAAAGCATTTTTTGCACCTTTTTATAACACCATTTTTCCTTATATTATAAAAACTCTATCTATCTATCTATATATATATATCTTCTTCATTGAAAGCTACCCCCGCCACCCTTCGTCTTCTTAAACATTTTTATCAAAATTTTTATCTTTACCTTCTTATCATTCATATCTGATTTTGATCTTCAGATTTGATTTTCAGAAAATTAAATTTATCTCTCAACAATTTCTATCATATATCATATTTTTATTTTATTTTCAGGATTGATTGCTTTCTATCGCTCACCTTCGTATCATTCTCCTTAATATTATATCTTTTGGTTTTGTAGGCCACTTACAATCTTTTTTTCTTTTTAGTTTATGTTCGTTTTATGAGAGATTTTCATTTCTACACATACGAGATTTGAAAAGACTAGGTGGTCAAAAAATCTTCATATTTCTACGCATACAAAAGATCTGAAAAGACCATATGGTCAAAATATCATAATTTCAACCTATACGAGATTTGAATATACCAAGTGGTCAAGAGATGTTCATTTCTACCCATACGAGATCGGCGGTCAAGATATCTTAATTCCCTATTGGTATAATATTGTTAATAGTAAAGAGAGAATTTTTATTTTATGATGGATCATCACAGGGACAATGAATTTGAATATCAAGAAATCGAGAAAACAAAGACATCATCAAAATTCAATAGATCAAGGACTATACACAGCCCGAGAAACTCGATTGAATTCCCCGAAAAGCCCTTGTATCTCTACCCTTCTCCTCATTCCATCGAACGTAATGGCTCCATTAAAAAGCTTCATTGCTCACCTTTAGGATCCATGGTTGGAAAAGTGAAAAAGCTGTATTCAATTTTCGATTCTCGTAAAGAAAATCCTCGATCCTCGATTCCAAAACCTCAAAGCAAGCATTCTTCAAAGCCTCTGTTATTGGCTGGAACAGAGGATCGTGTGGTAATTTACTTCACGAGTATCCGTGGAATTCGAAGGACCTTCGAGGATTGTTACACAGTGAAGATGATATTAGGAAGCTATCGTGTTAAAGTGGATGAAAGAGACGTGTCAATGCACATGGCGTATAGGAAGGAATTGCAAAATGTTGTAGGGGAGAAGAACAACCATACATTGCCACAGGTTTTTATCAAAGGGAAATACATTGGAGGTGCTGAATTGATCAAGCAATTGAACGAAATCGGCGAATTGCCAAAGTTGTTAAGAGGGGTTCCTTTAAGGCCAATTGGTTATATCTGTGAAGGTTGTGGGGATGTACGATTCGTGCCTTGCTCGAATTGCGATGGCAGCAGGAAATTTTTCGATGAAGATGAAGGACAAGTTAGGAGGTGTCTTATTTGTAATGAGAATGGATTGATTCGATGCACACTTTGTTCTACATGATGTATTGATAACATGTATAGTTTTTTAGGCAGAATTTTAAATGAGTGATGAGGTAAATGTAACACTTTTGTATCAAACAGGTGGCGCTTAATCTAATATAAACTACTATCTATTACTATGTATGTATTTTGAAATTGTATGGTTGAATATCCATTGTTCTTCTGTTGAGTTCTTATGAAATTCTACTGAAATATGAGAAACATATATATTACTAGAAGAGAAATAAACTCACCAAAGAAAAATAATTAAAATTATTAATCCCTCGATCCAGTGTTTTAAAAGATTCTGTTAGGACTCACCTTGGGGCCTAGCAAAGACTCAAATGTGGAGTTTAGTTTTCTTAGAGATTTTCTTGTGATCTTAATGTTCTTCTTAATTTTACACATCTGATACTTGGCTGTTTATCTTTCAGATTACTTCATTTCAGTCCGACGCTAAGATTGTGATTTCTTTAATTTTGTATTTCATAAAGGATGACTTTCTTATATTATGGGCTAAATAATTTTTGAGTGGCAATGTCAAACATGTTCCTAATGTTTAAGAATAGAACTAATGGCAATTACTGTTTGGGATCACTTATTGTGTTTTTCGGGAATGACGACTGAATTATCTTTAAAGAACTCCTTCAATTCAAATATTTCTAATGATTAGTTTTATAAAATTTCAAAATATATATATATATATATATATATAGTTTGCAAGTTTATTTTAAAGACTTTGTCATTTTTATAATTTTAAATAATAAATATATATATTTTGTACAATCACGTTATTTTATAAATATTTCAAAATGATTTTACATTTTAGTTTTTTCCTACTTTAAGTTATAGTTATAATTTCTAATTAATTAGTTTGTATTTAAATTTTAATTTGTCTTATTTATTTTTTAGCCAAATTACCAATTAAGCTCAACTTGGTTGAGAATTCTTGTGTTCAATGGCTATAATTGCAATCCATATTGAATTGCAAATGTGATCACCTAGTTCTAACCCCTTATCGAAAAGACCAAAAAATGGGCCTTTTCGACGACCCAATTCTCCACAGAGACCCAATACCACCAACATAAACCGACCCGACGTTGTCTTCTTCACGGCAGCAAACAATAAGTATAATGTTCTGAAACTAAACTTAGTTCCATATATAGTGCAACTGATGCTTTTTTTTTTTTTTTAATGTTTGAAGAAATTCACAATCGCTATTTTTTTAACAATAATTTGTAAAATCACATAAAAAAAATATAAAATTGCACTAAACAAGCACAATGCAACGAGTGCTACTAACTTAAACTAATAATTAAAGTAGAGGAATTGAAAATATTTTAATTGTAATAATTTGATAAAAGGATTAAACAGTCAGCAACATTCCAATCACACAACTAGATGTAATGCAACATACTCAAAATCCTCTTCTCAATTTATAAATTATTTTTAAAAATTACGATAAATAATTTAAGATAGAATGCGTAGAATATTATGATCCTCGCCTTATTATATATAATGCATTTGTAAAACAATTAAGTAAAGTGGCATTTCCACTTTTATTTGGCTCCACACCTAGAATGCATAACCACAATAACTCTTAATGAGTTTGATTCCACACCTCTTTTATACAAATCACTCTTTTTTGTTATTATCCTCTAAAACTTGCTGTTACATTTGAAAGTACCTCATTTTTCAATCCTAAATAGATTTGTATATTTTTCTCAAACAAAATAATAATAATAGTATTTCTAATTAAAGAATCTTTCTAGTTGACAAACATATAATTCTTATCCACCTAGAAAAAGAATTTCTTAGAAAAAGTGAAAAAACTTATCCATACCAATTGCCCCTTTACATTAATCAAGAGACGGTACTATTTGAACATTATCATATCACTATCAATCATATGTTCTTTTTTATAAGCTCCAATTCTAGTGCTTCTTTTCACTACAACTTTTTTGTAATTGTCCTTTTTAAATTTTGAAATTACTGAATTTCAAATTAATAATATACATATGTAATAATTTCAAATTAAATTTAATCGAACTCTTGAAATGATAACTCCGATCTCGTGTCTTTTCTATTGATAAAATCCATGTACTAGATTCATTGTATAACTTTTTTAAAGTTAGATAATAATATCAAACATAGGCATAGTACTTTTACAAGTGTACTCTTGTCCGCAAGTGGATAGGTTACTTTATGAGATACAAAAATGTATAACCATTAGTAAAATCGATGAAACGTTAAATTTTTTACTTGGTTAGTAACAACAAATATACAGTTTTAAAAATATGTCTCATTATGATAATAACAACCTTTGTTTACTCTATTTGCAAGTCTTCAAAAAGAAATTACTACAGCTAATCATAGTATTATTAAAGCAAAATGATTTAATTAAAAGAAACTACTACAACCAAAATATCATTATGTAGACACCAGATAACATTTGGTCCAACAGGAGAGTTATATGTACTTTCACTATAAGTATATATACTTTTTTATCAATATCGATCTTTTCATGTTGTTTGTTTCATATTATATTATCTCAATAATAATATTTTGTTACATCAATATAATAAGATCAAATAAAAGTTTCACTTATCGAGTTTCAGTTTGATTATTAAATGGTCATATTCACGTGGCAGCCTAGTCGGCAGTCGGCAATGAAATGGGGTCCGGTTCTTGAGTGGACAAACCATTATCTTTTTACAAAATCAAAGTGATTTAGTGGAGTATCCAAATTGAAAACGAACATATATTAATTCGAATTAGAGTCCCTATTTAATTAGTATCAAACCTATTTATAATAAAAACATGCCTTAGAACTTGGAATTATTCATTAAAACAATAATAATATTTGCAAAAATTGTCCCTATTAAATTTAAATCACGCATCATTATCTAACATAATTTTCTCTCTACTGAAGTGAAATAATAGTATCTCTGGTACACTTCCATTATTACTAGTCAAAAAGTTGATCTACACTTTTTACACCTGAACACCCTTATAAAAAATTTGTAGTTACTATATATAAACCCCACCTCCAAGAAGACTTCAATAATTCATCCAACAAGAATACAAAGAAAAAAACACATACAGAATTACCCAAAAAAATTCAAAAATTCATGGACTATTCAAGGAGATTACTCCGGGAAGCCACCATGTCGCCGCCACCAGCAGCCAGAATCAGCCACGATACACCACTTGGTCATAGAGTCAACACAATTGATGCAAATGTTATTATGGTTTTGGCTGTACTTGTATGTGCCTTAATTTGTTCACTTGTGTTGAACTCCATCATAAAATGTGCATTTAAGTGCTCTAGCTTAATATTGGCTGATCCATCATCAAATCATACAAGTAACAACAACTCTTCTTCCACAAAATTAGTCAATAGAGGGATCAAGAAAAAAGCGCTCAAGACATTTCCAGTTATAACATATAGTACTACTGAACCAAAACATCCGGGGCTCGACTCTGAATGTGTCATTTGCTTATCAGAGTTTGGAGTTGGAGACAAAATCAAAGTGCTACCTAAGTGCAACCATGGGTTCCATGTTCGATGTATTGATAAATGGCTCAATTCACACTCTTCTTGCCCTACTTGTAGGCACTCCCTCATTGACACTTGCGAAAAAATTGTTAATGGTGGCAATTCTTCTACTACTAATAATAATATTAGAGAGGCAGCAGTACAACAAGTTATAGTAAGGATTGAACCTCTCCAACGTGAAGGTGTGATATCCAATTAATTTACAATCAAAATTTGGTACAAAAAAATAGTAATATAGCTAGATTTTCCTTTAGTAAATCTCTTCTTTTTCCGAGCTCTGATTATGAAAGAAGGAACCTAGAAGAAGAATGTATCACACATACTCAATTAGGTTAGAAGCTTAGAGAGCTAGCATGTAGTTTCCAATGAGTTATCAAGTGTATATACAAGTTAAGGTGTATATTTTCCCTAAAGTTTAAAGTTATGGTATAAGTTCCTATCTTAGGGTAAATTGGATTTTGTATTTTAAATTAAATTAAGCGGGACCCGCTAATCAATCTAACTTTGAAATTGGAAAAAAAAATGGGAATAATTGTAGATGATGGGTTGATGATTAGGAATAAAGTGCTATCAATTTATTTTATTTTTATAAAAGGAATAAAGTAGAATGGTAGATGTTGAATATTTTATTTTTGGATGGTTAAATTTTTTATGAGGTTAAAAGTGTATATTTTTATGAATAACAAGAATTGTTTTTCAAAAGATAAAAAAGGAACCTTTTCCCCGAAAGGATTTTAAAGAAATATAAGTACTTAAAAACATTTTTTGTATTTTGAAAATTTATTAATTAAACGCAAAATTATTTCGTAAAACGCAAGTATTTTTTTTAAAACATCATTTTTAAATAAATAATTATGTAAATATGGTCAAACAGACCATCAGACAAATTAAAGAAATCAAACTAGGTAGTTATATAGTGAAAGTTGAGAACTATTATTACAATCAAACTTTATTCACGGATTTTTAATATAATGAAGGGAAAATTGAATATAAAGCAAACTACCTAAATTAAATGGAGGGTTTTATTTAGCTAAAATTTGTCAGCGTCTCTCTCCCAAAAATCTCGCTCGCCACTCTTGATTCTCGCTCGCCTCTCTCGCTTTATACACAGAAGTGTATGAATTATGTTTCTATTTTGTATAAAGCGAGAGAAAATTGTAAAAATGTATATCTTCGTGTTATACACTTAATTATACAATTTACAAACATTTTACAAAATATTGCAGAGAAAAAGGTCAACGAATTATACAATTGCGAATTATACAATTGCAGTGAAATAAATTTTCTCTAGCTTTATACAACAGTTGTATATATTGTGTTTCTGTTTTTGTATAAGCGAGAAAAACATATATCTTCTTGCTATACACTTATAAATAATGCAATATACATACATTTTAATTCGATTCAACTGTATGCAAAATAAATTATACAATTGCAGCGAAATAGGCCAGCGAATTATACAATTTAGGCCAGCGAATTATACAATTGTATATGTATAACAAATTATACAGTTTTATGTTTGCAATGGAGCGCAATTATGCAAAGTTTGCTATATAGCATACAAATATGAATTTTTTGTTTGCTATATATGAAAGTTACCCTATAATGAATCTGCCTAGTTGTAAAAGGAAATTAAATTATACATGTTTCGAGATTTCAAGTGACTTTTAACTATTGGTGAAACTCCAATCCGAAACCACTATACCCATTTATTTTGAAAGCGGGTTCTAAATTAATAATTTGTATATAATAAATTCTTAAAATGGATATTCAATTTTTATATTTTATTTGAATGATTATTATATATTATTTTTTAATATATTTATATTATATTATTTTTTAATAGATATAATATTTGAATAGATTATATAGCATTTTCAATCGTTATATAATATCCATAATTTGAATGATAAAACTGTGAGAAAAATAAAAAACAAAATAAAATTATTATGAAAAAGATTGATTGAAATGTGATTATTAATGAAAAATAAATAAATTATTAAAATAACAAACGCACAAAACGGCTCGATAGGGATAGAAAAAAGAAAAATAATACCTTAGGCCCAATATTTGAGGGGTTACATTTTTTTAAAAGCAATAATAGATTTATAGATCTTTCCTAAAAAAATAATATTGAGCCAAGTACTACTTATAACAAAGATGATGCTTTTTATATAAAATAAGAGAATTATTAGAAGAAGTTTTGTCTAGAGTAAAGATTAAATTGATTGATTATAGTATCAATTAAAAAAGAATTATTCAAAGAAAGCTAGAAGAACAAAATTTGTAAGAAGATATATTAATTTACTTCTTAAAGTTTAAGGCCTTCTTTCTATTTTTTTCGCTTTTAAGTTTTTGAGTTGTCCCGATTAATGCGATTACATCAAATTGGTTATTACATAAATTGATTTTCTTTTTGTTATTGAATGATGAATTTAAACGATACAATATAATAGAATTTAAATTATAATTAACATAAATATTATACTTAAATCAACAATATAACGAGTAATAACCATCCAAAAAAGGTGTAAATCGACCGTTATATAAAATAATGATATAATATTAGTGGGTCCCAATCAGGAGAAGGTAAGATTGAAACATTAGTTGAGAAGATATAACCCACCAAAGACTAGGAGGACCAAAATAATTGAAAATTCAAATAGACCACAAAGCTAATTGTTTAAATCATTAATTGTATTGCTATTAATATTAGACCACAAAGCTAATTGTTTAAATCATTAATTGTATTGATATTATTTTCTTCTCTTAGTGACATCCTTTTCATTCAAAGTTACAACTTGCATCCAGTGCATGCAAAAACATAATAACAAGAAGAATAAAACAATAGTGCATGATTTTTTTCAACAGAAAGCGAGAGATAAAGAAAATACAATAATAATAATAATAATAATAATAATAATAATAATCCAATAGAAAGAACATGAAGATTTAAATAGCTAAATTAAAGGAATACACTCTAAATGACTCATTATAAATGCAACAAATATAATTTTGGGCCAAATTCAAGAAACTTGCTAAGCATGTACTATAAGTGAGATTAACTACGAATTTTAGTATTTAACTATGAAATTTGCCATGCATTCACTAATTCATTTTTAAAAAATCATTAGCAAAGAAAAGAGAAAGTTATTCACCAATAATTAGAGTGAAGAACTAATATACTTCCTTTGTTGTGTTTGTTTCGTATATTCTGATTTGACAAAGTTTTAAAAAAATAAAAATTTGAATCTTAAAGTCTTAAAATAAAGATATGTCAAATATGTTAATATGTTTTTTTTTTTTAATTTTATGGTCTTAGACATATCAGATAAAGAGTCGCATGCTAACAAAGAGATATATTTTTTAGAGGAACTAAAAGAATTAATAGATCAAATAAATTGAAATGGAGGGATCGAAACATACAAGTATGAACTATGAAGGACAACCAATGTTGCAATATGTGGTGATAAGACAATTTCTTATCTCTAGCTCTAAAAAAAGATAACCCCCAAGGGTGCATGAAAATGATAGGAACTTAGGAATATACTTATATATCTATGTATATATATATATTGTGTTGGTGGTTTATCAATATAAATGAAGATAGAATAAATCTTTTTCCCTACCCCACCAAAACTGAAAGAACATAATTAATAAGTTAATGAAGACTATATTTTATATATATCTAGTGAAAAGGGTCCAACTATTTCACGCACTTGGAAGAAGATCACATTCATAAAGTCACATGTATTATTATATTTCAATCATTTTCAATATTTCTTTTTATTTCTTATTGATATTTGAAGTTTATATTACAAAAAAATGTAAAATTAGTTATGAAATTAATTTCATAGCAATTTTTAACTAATTTGTTGCTAAAAATGTGTTTGCTTATAGATTTTTCTAAATCATCTCTTATTTATAGCTATGCATAATATTGTTTATTATTTAGCTATGAAATTTTATTCGACACTAATTTCACATTTTTTCTTTTTGGTTCTATCGACCACATCCCAATGTGCAATACCACTAAAGGATGTACCATGATATTTTGCACTATTCACACTAATTAGTGTCTTTCTTCTATTATTGTTAACTAATAAGTCAACTATGCATTTTATTTTTCTGCGCCCTAATTTTTTTAATTCATTAAACGCGGTTATTCTTGAAGTGTCAACATTAATTTATTTGAAATAAATATTATTATTTTCTTTATTCATAATTTATTTATCTGATTTTAACTTGACATATAATTTAAGAAAGTAGAGAAGATTTTAGATCTTATTGTTTTAAATTAGAGATACGAAGAAATAAGAATATTGTACAAAAATACATTCTTTTTTGATGAAAACGAAAAGAATATATGATCAATTCAATTTCAAAAGTTAGCTCAAGAAGTAAGAATGTCCAAATCATATTAAAGCGACCACTCAATATTATTAAAAAGGTCAATATATGAATCATCCAAGACGCATTAGCATGACGTATTATTCCTGTTTGAATATAACACTTCATGGGAGAAATCCCTCATAAGGAGTACTCATATTTTCTTATATGAGTACTCAAATTTAACACTTAATATGATTTTGTGATATGTATCCCTACCTTAATTTTTGCTTAAATAAGGTTAATATTATTTGGTCGGGTGTAACTATATGCAAATCCAACGTATAGAATGTTTTTATCTTTTTCTTCTTCTTTCAAATCCATTATTCCATTATGGTTTTGGAGATAAATTAGTGACATAGACATATATAGTTATAAAAAAAATACATATAAGTGGAGATTGGGAGGGTCTTATCTAAATTGCTAATATCTCAAACTCTAAGTACACATTATTTTTTTATTTTTTTTGCAATCACTTATTTGTATTGCATACAACCTGTCTTTTGTTTTATGGGACCAATCTTATCATATTTTGAGAGACCAAAAAAGGGATAGCTAATTAATTATTTATCTTAATTAGAACAAATCTTAAAAAAGTTATAAGAGTTGAACCTAAAAGGATTACTGTTACCATCTTTATCTTAATTTTTTTTTGTAGTACATAACAAAGATTTATCTAGTATCTCAAAAAGATTGTCTTGCTTTAATTACAAGCCACAAGAATAAATGAGTACGAAGCTTAATCTTGATTTTATAATTGATTTGGTGCCTTGTGAACATACAACTTAATTACAACAAATGGGGCCATTTGTTAATCTAATTAGTAATTCGATTGGGCCAAAGATTTTATTGGATAACAACTTTGTCTCCAAATCTACAAGGATTAATGAGATTAGCTGTTGATTAGAAAAAATATCATATGGCAGTACTTAAAGCTAAAGAGGAAATTACAAATGGATTAATTTTCACATATGCTATTAATTAAACTTTACTTTATTGTACTAAAATAAAAGTAATTAAGTGTAGCCATGGAAAATACCAAAAGGTAACCAATGAAAGGGAAGCTATAGTTTTAAGTTTTTACTACGCATAAATTCGAACCGAAAATGTCTAATCGAAACACTTAACTAAGAGTTCATCAGGTATTTTAGTTTTAGTTTGAGAGTTTAAATGAACTACGACAAATTCAAGGGTCAGACTATGTATTAAGGCTTTAATTAATAAACAAGCAAATACATATATTTGATCCTATATTATATATGAAATATGAGAGCGGTCCTTGGTAAAATTTTAAACAACTTGAATTAGTTAATAGACAAGATAATTTAATTGCCTAACTTGAAGATTTGATCATGTACTAGGAATCTTGATCAATTCATATGAAACCACACAAATAATTCAGAAAATGAGAAAAAAGGTGAATCATACGTATCAAAAGATTAGATAATACATGATTTAATTACAATTTTTCTATTAAGAAGACACAAGTAGTACTTTTTCTATATCATTTGGTACAACTTTTCCTATTAATTATCAGTTCAATCTCAATCTACATAAATTTCTTATCAAATTTGTAGTACGTGCACAATTTCTTTTTAGAACTTGTGGTTTTAATAATCATGTAACATTTGTTTGGTTAAAATATCATAGCATTTGTGTGGCGATAAAGACTTCTTATTTAGGGTATCAAATATATTATTTTTTTTATCTCAATTCATATGACATTCACTTGTCTTTTTAATTAGTAAAAAAAAAGAAAATATATTTTATATTCAATAACAATTTCATGTTCCTACTTACAGGAAAGGAAAACAATAGGGTCGACCTAGGCCAATACAAGAGTCCTAACTATGCTAAACTTAGACTTAGAGCAATACTCAAACTAAGTTAAAACTATTATTCTTGACAAATGTTCCTAAAATTTATAACGATATTGAATCTAATAATCATTAACTAATGTCAATAAAAGTTTAAGCACTCTATATCAATAATTAATATATACATATTTATTGCTGCTAAATGTTCATTTGTATTGCCGTGTGAGTATAAGTACAAGTAGTTGTTGAATAGTACTTTAATTACATAACAAATGAAACCACAACTAACTCTAACATCTTAAATTTCCCTCTCAAGTTAAAAGAGTAAAATATATTTCCCCTAAGAGTGACTTTGTTGCCTAATATGCTTTTAAATTAAGAATTAAGATAGTCTTTATCAAATTTTAGTGTGTTCAAATACGTTAATAGAAAACTTCTTACTCCCTTCTTGGGCTATAGAGTAGTCAATAACAATTTTTTGGGCCTCAAATAAAATTTGTGTACATGCCAATATGAACGTGGCAACCTAGTCGATAATTGGCAAGGGCGGTGGGGGCATTTCTTGGGTGGATATTCCATTAGCTTAATTTGTGTAAATGCTAATATATGAGCATTGCTAAATGCATGGCTCCACTTATTTATAACAAACTCTTAACCTCAGTGCTTACAAGTAAATCTAGTTAACTAAAATATAATATCATTCCATTATTATAAGCCAATAGCTAAGTCCACACTTTGTCCTATATAAGCCAAGGTGGAACTTCAACTCATTCAACATTCAACACAAAAAAAAAAAAAAAACTCAACCAAAAGCATAACTTCCACTCTGTTTATTCAAGAATTCATGGAGAACTTCCACCACTCAAGAAGATTACTCTGGGAGGTGGCCGCCGTGGTGCCGCCTCCTATGCCAGCCGGAATAACTAGCCCCGAGACAATTGATGATCTACAAATTGGAAAAAATGTCAACACATTTGATGCAAATGTTATTATGGTGTTAGCAGTATTTGTAAGTGCCATAATTTGTTCACTTGTGTTGAACTCCATCATAAAATGTTTCTTTAGGTGCTCTACCCTAGTTTTAATAGACTCATACTCAAACCATACAAATCCTTCATCAACCAATAAAGGGATCAAGAAAAAAGCCCTCAAGACATTTCCAATTGTAAGATACACTACTGAATTGAAACATCCAGGGCTCGACTCTGAATGTGTCATTTGCTTATCTGAATTCATTGTTGGAGATAAAGTTAAGGTTCTACCAAAGTGTAACCATGGATTCCACGTCAAGTGTATCGATAAATGGCTCAATTCACATTCTTCTTGTCCTACTTGTAGGCATTGCCTCATTGAAACTTGTCAAAAAATTGTCAACGGTGACAATTTTGTTACTACAAATGCAATTTCATCATCAACAGTTGAAGAAATTGTAACAAGGATTGAACCTCTAGAACGTGAAGGTGTTATATCTAATTAACAATCAAAATTAGAAAGAAAAATAGGATTAATTAGTTATTAATTGTATGTATGATGTAGAAAAATTAGCTATTTAGCATTATGAGTTCAATGTTATGTAGCTTTCCAGTGATCCATTAGTACTCTTGCAAGTGTTTATAAAAAAGATTGAGTATACTATTATATTTCAATTTTGTATTAGCTTAATTACACACTAAATTTTGTATAAGGTTTGAGGGCTAGTTCATATAGCCAGCACCAAACTTATCAATATAACTCTCGACTTGTCTACTATAGAATACAATAGATTAGGATTCAATTGTCATCTACAATGTATATAGTCAAAATCCACTGATTTAATAAAATTATTAATCTCTTTTTGTAATTTATGACTTTTAACAGATCTCAAGTTAATATATCAACATCATAATAATATATACAGATACTTAATAAATTTCTTTGTATAAGGCTGGAACAAATTCTATTGGATTCAAACTTGAACTGATTCATAAGAAATGCAACAATATAAAAACAAATCACGAGAGAAAATTGTTAAATTCAAGAAAATGTCAAAGCACCCCTTATTTAAATGTTACACCCCAAATTAACATAACAAGTCCTAAAGCACGGGAGAAATGTTGAGTATATAAATAAACAGATTTAATTCACTAGAGACACGTTTTAAAGTCGCACGAATTTTAATTTTAGAGCTGACAATATTACTAGC